CAACGTCTCTTCAGCAAGTGATTGGTAGCATTACAATGCTCCACATAAAACCTTTTAAAAATCTCCAGAGCATACTTTCTTTTGATGCATGACCAGTCCCAATTTTGACTCGTGGAACTCTATGTCAAGAAAGTAAGTCATGATTCCAAGGTCACTCATTTCAAACTCTTCCATAAGTTCACCCTTGAACTTAGAAATATTCAACTCATTGCTGCCCGTGATCAATAGGTCATCCACATATAAGCAAAGTATGATCACATATTTGCTTGCATCCTTCTTCACATAGACACCATGTTCAGAAGTCAATTTCTTGAAGCCAACGTTAACTAGGAAACCATCGATGAGTTTGTTCCAAGTTCTAGGAGCTTGTTTCAAATCATAAAGTGATTTATTCAATTTGTAGACTCTTCCCTATTGAATTGTCACAACAAAACCAAGGGGTTGTTCTACATAAACTTCCTCCTCAAGAAGACCATTCAAAAGCACAAATTTCACATCCATTTGATAAATCAACCAATTGTTGTTATTCACAATACCAACAACCATTCATATGGTTTCTATCCTAGCAATAAGTGAAAACACCTCATCAAAGTCTATAACTTCTCTTTGAAAAAATTCCTTCGCAACTAGTCGAGCCTTAAACTTGACAATTTAACCTTTTGGATTTGCCGTCACTTTATAGACCCATCTAACTCTGATTAGCTTCTTTCGTTCTGGTAGATCAACCAACTACCAAGTACTATTTTTCTCAATCGATTTCATCTCCTCTTTCATCACACACATCCACTTTGGATCTCTTACTGCCTCTTTCGTGCTAACGAGCTCAGATTCGGCCATAATCACAAAGTGAATGAGATCACCATTTATTATTGATCTCGTCATGCCAGAAGACTTCATAACTTTGGAGCCTATAAGATAAACCTCTTCACCTAGTTGGTCATCTACTATTGTCTCCGACTAGCTACTGTACAGGACCTACAGAATTCTAAAAAATTTTATTTTCATGTTGGAAATCGATTTCAGGATCAGGGAAATCGATTTCAACTTCTACAGAAACAGTCCCAGGAGTCTCAGAAAGCATAAAACCGTGTTGGAAATCGATTTCACCACCTATCATGCTCAAGTTTCTGCTGTCAAACAAGTTCAGTTCATCCACAACCACATGTCGACTAATTACGATCTTCTTGCTTCTAACATCAAACAATTTATAGCCTCCGATAGGATGATAACCAACAATCAACATCATCTCACTTTTGTCATCCAACTTCTTTCAAAGCTGACTCAAAATATGTTAAAAGGCTACCGAACCAAAACTTCTTAAATGACTTAATCTTGGTTTAAATCAAGACCATATCTCTTCTGGAGTCACCTTATCAAGCTTCTTTGTAGGACACCTATTTAACAAATAGGCGGCTGTAGAAACAACTTCTCCCCATAGTTCCTTTGGCAAGCCTTTTCCCTTCTCATGCTATGAACCATGTTCATTATCTAACGATTTTTCCTCTTGGAAACACCATTTTGCCGAGGCGTATAGGGTGGCACAACCTCACGCACTATACCTTCCTTATCACAATAATTCCTAAACTCATTTAAGGTATACTCACCTCCACCAACCGTGTTGAGAATTTTAAGTTTGTGACCACTTTGCCGCTCAACCATGGACTTAAACTTCTTAAACACATAAAATACCTCATATTTTCTCTTGATTAGGTATGTCCATAGTTTTGTACTAAAATTATCGATAAACGTGACCAAATAACTATTTCCACAATACGAGTCGACTTGGATTGGACCATATAAATAAGAATACACCACCTTAAGGTGATGTTTAGTTCTATAACCTGCACCCTTGTTGAAACTACTCTTGTGTTACTTCCCATGAACACACTCTTCACATATCTCAGCTGGAACATTGTTTTCCGGTAACCCGGTTACCATATCATTCTTTTGTAACGCGTTGAGGTCTCGAAATTTGAGATGTTCAAGATAGTAGCGCCACAAACACTCATCACGACCTTCCGCTGTAGCAAGATACCTTTGCTCCATCACTTTAAACTCTATCTTAAATGTCCTATTTGCAGCCATGAGTGACTTAAGGACTACTACCATGTTTCAGTCCAAAACGCGCAAAATATTGTTTTCCTTGCGAATCATGTAATTCTTCTCAAGAAATTAGCCAATTATTAAGAGAGTACATTTGATTCCTGGAATGTAAAGAAAATTTTTATCAAGGAATGACCCTCATCCCTTTTCATGATCAAATCATCACCGACCCCGTCGACCGCTAAAGTGGTGTCATCCGTGAATTTTACCTTATTCTTCGTGGCTTGATTGATTTTGACAAACCAATCCTTTCTATATGTCATATGTGTTGAACAATCAGAGCCCAATTTCAACTCATCACTGCCTTGGAACCCATCTTGAACCGTTACCATTACGTTTTTCTCCGAACGCATTTTTGCAGCATTTTTCGAACTATTGCCAATGTTGTCCAGCAACTCGCAACTTCTACTGGTGTTGTCCAACAACTTATTACTGTCATAATTCTCCTCTGTGATCATGACCAGAAGTGTGTTATCATCATCCACCTCCTGTCGAGCAACCTTAGCATCATCACTTTGATTTTTCCATGATTTTGCATTACAAGCCCTTGTGAAATGACCAGGTCTATGGAAATAATAACACTTCACATTATTCTTGTCAATCTTCTTGGTGTAGTTTCTTTGACCACTACCTTTGGAGTTTCTCTCACCTCTTTTCCCTATCGAAGCCTTCGATTTTTGTGGATCTTTTCCACCAAAATTCTAAAAATTTGTCTTTCCTTTCAAAAACCATTTCCCTTTCGATCTTTTACTCTTCCCATTAATTTGTGCTTGCAATGCAATCTCCGCTTTAGCTTTGTCATTTCCCCTTCCATCCATTCTTTGTTCGTGAGCCTCAAGCGAGCTTTGAAGCTCCTTCTTGCTCAATGTCGGAAGGTCCTTTGATTCTTCGATTGCAATCAATTTTGTCAAACCTTGATGTTAAAGAACACAAGGTCTTCGATACAACATTCTTCTCTGAAACAATTTCTCTGCAAGATTTCGTTTAATTCACTAAACGTGTAATGCGCGTTACATAGTCGTTGATTGACTCCTTGTCTTCCAATTGAAAAAATTCAAACTGCCGCTTGTGAATTTGTAACCTCACCACCTTTGCTTTATCAGCCCTTTCATAAGCTTTCTTCAAGATCTCCCATGCATGTTTTGACGAGTCGCAATCGCCAACTTTTTCGAAGTTTTTATTGTCAAAACAAGAATGAATCAAGAAGAGTGCCTTGTAGTCTTTCTTCTTCTCTTCCTTGAATGCAACCTTCTGAGCATCTGTAGCTTCTGCCCCAAGTGGTGTAATACCATTATTGACCACTTGAAGAACGTCTTGATGCCCAAATAAAACTTTCATTTGTTTGCACCATTTTTCGTAGTTCTTCAAATAAAGGTTTGAAAGATTGGTAAGGACTCGATCATTGGAAACGATAATCAGCTTTGCAGCGGATTAATGTGAATTGGGGGAGAGAGAGAGAGAGAGAGAGAGAGAGAGAGAGAGAGAGAGAGAGAGAGAGAGAGAGAGAGAGAGAGAGAGAGAGAGAGAGAGAGAGAGAGAGAGAGAGAGAGAGAGATTCAAAATGGCATTAACATTTTATAATATTACATGAGGGGTATTAACATTTTATAATATTACATGAGGGATATTTATATACAAGATCTAAAACTGATAGAATGCAAATAGACCCAAAACTAAGCTAAAAAGCCCAAAACACGGGCTGAAAATCGATTTCATCAAAGGGTGTAATCGATTTCCACTTCGAAACTCAGAAAAGTCAAAAACATTAGAAAACAGAAAACAATTGTGGAAATTAAATTCCACATTCCAGGAAATCGATTTCCTCTTTGATACTTTGATTTTTCATATTTCAGAAGTGTTTATTTTTAAACTGTTTCCAACGCAATGCTCTCAGAAGCTTTTACACATATTTGAATTACTTTGTGCATCCAATATTTAAGTGATATAAAGATTACAAGTTGAACCTCTTTAAAAGCTCATATAAAGATTACAAGTTGAACTTTTTAAAAGCTCAGTGTAAGGAGTTTGTATGTTGGCTTAGCTAGTGTAAACACTCAAATTTGTAACTAGAAATTTCAAAGAGAAACTCTTATATACTGGATTAGAATTTGTGGTTTAAAGTCTAACCAGTTTAAATCCTGGTGTGATATCTCTAAACTCTTCTGCTTTATATTTATGCATTATATAGCTGCTTATAATTCTATACTTCATCGTATCAGTTAAAATTGAAAAACCTTAAAATCAATATTTTACTTTAAAAATTCAAAAACCATTTAAGACGATTCAACCCCATCCTCCTTATGTTTGAATTCATTTGATCAATATGTACTGAATCATAAACAATACTAAGTTGTTTGTCTATCATGAATACAAATTTTTTTAAGGGTTCATCACCTGTCCTATGTAATGATGGGTGATAACATATTTTATCATGAATTAAACATTAAACTTCCAATCCAACGAAATAATCATACAATAACTTACAAGTGATCATTCACTATTTTTTTTACCACGTATTAAAGATGAACTATACATTAATAATAATGCTCCAAATGAAAAACATAATTCAAAGGATAAAGTGATAGAAAATTTTCCTATTAAAAATATGAATTAGGGTTTCTACACTAAAGGAGAAAAATATTAAATTGACTAATTAAAATAAAGATAAAAAACCTTTTCATTTCATTGATTGATACCCTAATATCTGAATGAGACTGCAATATATAATATTTCTAATGGATAATAAATTTAAAGGAATTCAACAAAACATTAAAAATTAAATAACAAGTAACATAATTGTATTACTAATTAAAATAAGTTCTGAAATTACTCCGGGATCCTATTGCTTAAACCGAACAATCATAAAAAGAAATTTATGTTGAAACACGGTGAAAGTGTTATTGTATGAGGTGCAATTCCATGTTTAGCAGCAACCAATGAATCCAAGTGAATGTTGAAATCTTGTCTTTTGTTACTTGAACAGTAATCATATTCCTTTCTCTCATTCTTTTCAACTCCTCTCTCCATTGCTTCTTCTGCAAAAGTTTCACTCGGTAATCATATTCCTCAAGACATGCCCTTTTCTGCTCTCCCTTAAGCTTAGCAATCTGTGACTTCTTTAGAGGTTTAAATGGGAAGAGCCGGTCATATTCATCTTCACCTTCCTCTCCATCAGAATCAGATAAGTCAGTCATTTCAATATCAGAATCACCAGCAGTCCCCCCTTGATCAAGGTCTGTGATCTAACAAGAGCACTGTTGACAGTGACACCACTGTTTGTTACAACACTTCTATTTGATCTGTGTTTTCCAGCATTATCAACAACAGCAGATACCTCTTGTTCCAAAATCTTAAAAACTTCCTTCTTGTTGTTTAACAATATTTGGAAATTCTTTTATATAGGACTCATTTCGAAGCTCTTTGAACTTCCAATACATAACTTGTGCTGCTATTGACTCTTCAGTAGTAAAACCTAGTCTCTGAATCATTCTTAGGAATTATATCCTAATTTCCTGCAATTTCTCTAGCTTCTTCTTATCTTCTTTACTAAAATCAGTATCAGAAACAACACTACCTGCTCTACTCATGGAAGGAGCAAAAAGATTGGGCCGAATTGAACGCACTGCAGGTTTACCTGTCTGGAGAGATGATCCCAAACCAGCAGGTCGCTCAACAAAGAAAAGCCTAGATCCATCTTGAGCAGTTAAGGTGATACCAACAGAACCAATAGAATCAGATCCCTTTTTTACAATACCGCCACCATCATTGGAATTGGAATCAGAAACAGGTTCATCATCTTCTTCCTCGTCGAAGATTGAAAGCGAAATAGCTCCTCCGAGAGTTTTGTTTGCGGTTTTCCAAAGGGGATTCGGGGAAACTGTAAATGGATCAGAGGGTTTTGAAACGGTGGTGCCATTGATGTGATTGAAATTGTTGATGAAGTTGCGCTCAGAGGGTTGTTGTGGAGGTTGATGATGGAATCTCCCATAGTCGTTTGGAAGAGCAGAGGTAGTCAAGGTTTGGGAGAAGTAGTTGCCATGGATGTGATTTGTTAGTAGCTTGAATGAAAAAAGAGGATTTAATGGCTTTGGTTTATAGAGGAAAGGAAAATAGATTCGGAGGTTTTTCTTTGATTCTGAATTGGAAAAGTTTTGAGATTTTTTTTGAGATTTTTTCTTAAAAGAGAGATGAGACACTTGTAAATGTTTTTTAAAATTTGTGGAGGAGATTTTTGTTGGTTGTAGTGGTTGAGGATAATTATTGTACTAGCATGAATAATGAGATGATGTATACCCAGGATTAAAATACAAATATGAGTTTGTAACATGTGGATTTGTGGAATAAGATGAGAAAATTTCTCATAAAAAAGATGAAAATGAGGAAGTGATTGGAGATATAACAGAGGGATTTGTGGGATAGGTAGGAGAAGTGCTCTATGGATGATATGAATGTGTATGATAAGGATAATCCATATGAAGATTTTAGTACATGGATGAAAGCACCAATTGATAGGAAGTTTTTCTATCAAAGCTATGAATTAGGGTCCCTAGGATCATAATAGGCATTGACCCTCTTTAATGAGGATGTTTATGGGCTAGGTCTGTACTGGCTAGCTCCGGGGATGAGTCTTGTTCGTAGGCGATCCCCGTTCATGGGTGAGCCACGTTCGTAGGCGAGCCCTGTTCGTGGGCGAGCTAAGCTATGACTGGGTTGTTCCTTCGAGGGCAGGCTCTTCTTTAGGTTTTATGTCTTAGACCCACATCTAAGATAACTATTTTCCCGGAATATGCATAAGTCCTCCGAGCACGAAACATGTAAGGGTGAAGTGTTTGATTACATAAGTCTTTTATCTGAGAGCCATATCCAGTGTAGCTATTTTCCCGGGATGTACATAAGTCCGCCAAACACGATGCCAGTAAGGGTGAAGTGTTTAAACATCTTCGTAAATTTCCTTCAAGGCATATCTGGTTAGCTGGATGGGCCCTATATGGTCGAGCTCTCTATGACCGAGCTCTGTGGGCTTACTTGGTAGTCTCCTCGTGGTCGAACCCTATGGACTAGCTTGGTAATCTCTCTATGGTCGGGCCTTTTTGGCCAACTTGTTAGTCTCCTCGCGGTCGAGCCGTGTTGACCGACTTAGTGATCTCTTCGTCGTCGACGCCTGCAGGATGACTTCTTAATCTCTTCGTGGTCAAGCCGTGTTGGCCGACTTGGTGGTCTCCTCGTGGTCGAGCCCTGTTGGTTGACTTAGTCGTCTTTTCGCGGTCGAGCTGTATTAGTCGACATGGTGATCTCTTCGTGGTCAAGCCGTGTTGGTCGACTAGGTAGTCTTCTCGCGGTCGATTCGTGTTGACATAATTGGTGGTCTCCTCGTGGTCGAGCTTTTTTGGTCGACTGGGTAGTCTTCTCGCGATCAAGCCGTGTTGGTCGACTTAGTGGTCTCCTCGTGGTTGAGCCATGCGGGACGACTCGGTAATGTCTTCGTGGTCGAGCTATTTTTGGTTGACTTGGCAATCTTCTCGCGCTCGAGTCGTGTTAGCCGACTTGGTGGTCTTCTCGTGTTCGAGCCCTGTTGGTCGACTTGGTAGTTTTCTCGTGGTCGAGCTCTGTTGGCTGACTTGGTGATCTCTTCATGGTTTAGTCGTGTTGGTCGACTTGGAAGTCTTCTCCCGGTCGATTTGTGTTGGCCGACTTGGTGGTATCCTCGTGGGTGAGCTCTATGGGCCGACTTGGTAATCTCTTCGTGGTCGGGCCCTGCGGACTGACTTGTTAATCTCTTTGTGGTCGAGCTGTGTTGGCCGACTTGGTAGTCTCCTCGTGGTTGATCCATGTGAGCCGACTTGGTAATCTCTTTGTGGTCGAGCCATGTTTGGTTGACTTGGTAGTCTTCTCGCGGTCAAGCCGTGTTAGCCGACTTGGTGGTCTCTTTGTGGTCGAGCCATGTTGGTCGACTTCGTAGTATTTTCGTGGTCAAGCCGTGTTGACCGACTTGGTGGTCTCCTAGTGGTTGAGCCCTATTGTCTGACTTGATAATCTCTTTGTGGTCAGGCCTTACAGGCTGACTTATTAATCTCTTCATGGCCGAGTCGTGTTGGTTGGCTTGGTAGTCTCCTCGTGGTCGAGCCCTATGAGCCGACTTGGTAATCTCTTCGTGATCGAGCCGTGTTTGGTCGACTTGGTATTCTCCTTACGGTCGAGCCGTGTTAGCCGACTTGGTGGTCTCCTCGTGGTCGAGCCTTGTTGGCCGATTGGGTAGTTTTCTCACGGTCGAGCCGTGTTGGCCGACTTGGTGGTCTCATCGTGGTCAAGTCATGTGGGTTGACTAAGTAGTCTTTTCGCAGTCAAGCATTGTTGGTCGACTTGGTGTTATCCTCGTGGTCAAGCCCTGTTGGTCGACTTGGTAATCTTTTCGTGGTCGGGTCCCGTGGGCTGATTTATTAACCTCTTTGTGGTCGAGCCTTGTTGGTCGACTTGGTAGTCTTCTTGTGGTCGAGCCCTGTAGGCCAACTTGGTAATCTTGTTGTGGTTGGATCCTACGAGCTTACTTGTTAATCTCTTCGTGGTCGAGCCATATTGGCCGACTTGGTAGTCTCGTCATGGTCGAGCCCCGTGGGCCTACTCTGTAATCTCTTCATTGTCGAGTTGTGTTTGGTCAGCTTGGTAGTCTTCTTGCGGTAGAGTCATGTTGACCGACTTGGTGGTCTCCTAGTGGTCGAGCCTTGTTGATCCTTTTGGTAGTCTTCTTATGGTTGAGTTGTGTTGGCTGACTTGGTGGTCTCCTCACGGTCGAGCCTCGTGAGCCAACTTATTAGGCTTCTTGCAGTCGAGCCGTGTTGGCTAACTTAGTGTTCTCCCTGTGGTCGAGCCATGTAGCCCGACTTGGTAATCTCTTCGTGGTTGGGCTCTGTGGGCTGACTTGTTAATCTCTTCGTGGTCAAGTCGTGTTGTTCGACTTGGTAGTCTTCTCATGGTTGAGCCTTTTGGGTTGACTCGGTAATCTCTTCGAGGTCGAGCCATGTGGGCTGGCTTGGTTTCTGGCGAGTCCTTTTCTTCTTATAGTGTCGGAGAGCTCATTATGAGTTCATTGTATGCCTTCAGATCCCTCTTGGGGTTGAACGATGTTCATAGCCTCAAAGTGGTTGACGTGAAATTGGTTTAGAGCCCGCTTGGGGGTGACCTAGTTAGAGCCCGCCTCTGGGTGTCCATCGCTAGAGCTTCAAAGAGATTGATGCAAAGTTCGGTTTGGAGCCTGCCTGGGGGTGACTTGGTTTAGAGCCCTCCAGGGTGTGACCTGGTTCAGAGCCCACCTGGGGGTGAACATCATCAGAGCCTTAAAGAGGTTGACATAAAGTTCGGCTCAGAGCCCGCCTGAGGGTGACATGGTTTAGTTCCCTCCTGGGGGTGACCATCTTCAGGGCCTAAAAGAGGTTGACGCAAGTTTGGTTCAGAGCTCTCCTGTGAGTGACTTAGCTCAGAGCCCGCCTGGGGGTGACCATCTTCAAAGCCCCAAGAGGTTGACGTAAAGTCTAGTTCAAAGCCCGTCTGGGAGTGACCTGGCTCAGAGCCCGTTTGGGTGTGACCATAGTCACAACCTCAAAGGGGTTGATGCAAAGTTCAGTTCAGAGGTCGCCTGGGGGTGACCATCATCAGAGCCTCAAATCTGTTGATGCAAAGTTTGATTCAGAGCCCGTCTAGAGGTGACCGATGTTCAGAGCCTTAAAGAGGTTGACGTAATGCCCCCAGTTGAGGTCTTGAGTTTAAATCACAGAGAGCCACTGTGTCATGGATAGTTCTTGCGTGTTTCAACCATAGGTTGGATCTTCTCACTTTTCTTATAGTTTTTCTCGAATACCTGTTTAATGTACAAATTTGAAAGAAAGGGGTGCTTCCTACCCACGCAGGGGAAAGGATACGCCTATTAGTTACAATGAATTTTAAAATAGTTTTTTTAAAGGGGTTATAAAAAATGGCCGAGACATTAGCTCGCCTTATCAAAATAATAGAATAAATTTGTGCTTGTGCTGTTTCTTATCGAATAATTCTAAGAATATGTAACAACACATCAAATTAAATATTACAAGAATGCAGCCATTTTTTTTCCTTAGGAGATTGTCCAAGTAGTATGTGAGTCCTCGTTCAAGCCTTTGTACCTCGAGGGAAAGCTCTACGGGAGGGCTTTGTGGGCTACCTGTGATGGCTAGCTCTGTCTGGCCAAGCCTTGTCTGCAGGCTAGCTCTATGGGCTAGTCGTGCCAGCTAACTCTTGTTAGAACAAGATTGATTCTGATCATATCTCATAGTTTTGATGATAACAATAAATTATATTTTATATATTTGATACTCTGATGAACGTATTTAATTGTTTCAGATAATGTTCAGACAGAAGCATTTTGATGTGATGAGCTGAAAATAAATGAAGAAGTTCTTTGATGAAAGAACTATTTGTTTTAGCGCAAGTGCTGATGCTAACTCTGATATGAAACTATTCTTCTGCATCTTCTAACGTTTAGCAGGTTTCCATGTTCTGAAGTACTTTGAAAGCAAGCGCTGATCAGAAGTACTTAGAAAGCAAGCGTTGATAAGAAGATATGCAAGCATGTTGTGAATCAAGACGTGAAGCTAAGTTCTGAAAGAATATAAAAGCTAACAAGTCTTGTCAAGGATCAGGAAACATGCTCTGACAAAATGTTGTTTGCTCATTTAATGCAAAGACGGCTACATGCACTTAAGTGTCTACGCTAGTTCATTGGAAGATGCAATACTGCAAGCAAACATTTATTGCTCTCCACTTTTGAAGGCAGCAACGGTCATCTTCTTCTTACTATATATAGAAGAACATTTATTGCAAGCCAACTACTTAACAAATTCAAAAGAAGCAAGAACTACGTGAAAATATTCTGGGCTCACAAATTATTCTACACACACTTTGTGCAATACTAATCTTAGTGAAAAATCACAGTTGTGATATAGCTTTCTTAGAAGCAAATTTTGTTTCACTATCTGTAAAGATTTAACTCTTGTAATTGTTCCTTGAGAGACCAAGTTTGGTCAGATTTCTCAAGTAGACTAGGACTAGTTTAAGTCTTAGTGGTGTTAATCACTTGTAAGATTACTTGTGCATTGTTAGTCACAACAGTTGTTGTGTGATTGTAATCAGTTGATTATAGTGAATTAAGTCCTTGTTGAGAAAGGCGAAATCACCTTGGCGAATGGACTGGAGTAGTTTGAGTTCAAACGAATCAGGATAAAAATAATCGTGTCTTTCCATTATTGTTGAGCATTTAAGGAAAAGAAAAAGAGAAACTTATTCAACCCCCCTCCCTTCTAA